AATGCAGGTCTTAAACCTTCTTTTTTTTTTTTTTTTTTTTTTTGTTTTGAGCCAGAGTCTCGCTTTGTTGCCCAGGCTAGAGTGAGGCGCTGGTGGTGGTCAGCCTAAGCTCCACGCAACCTCAGTCCCTCTGGGCTCAAGCGACTCTTCTGGGCCTCAGCTTCCTGAGGTCAGGCCCGGACCAACAGCTATGTCCACCATGCAGCTAATTTTTTTGTATATATATTAGTTTGGCCAATTATTTCTTTCTATTTAAATAGTAGAAGACGGGGTCTCGCACTTCGCTCGAGGCCTGGTTTTTCGAACTCCTGACCCTCGAGCAATCCTCGTAGGCGCCTCCCAGAGTGCTAGGATTACGAAGCACAGTGAGCCACCCGCGCCCAGACGGTCCTTAAACTTCTGAAACTTGTCTACCACAAACTGTGCTACTTGTAGTGGGCCTCTCAGATGTGACATCCTTTATTGGGAATTCTTCAACAGGTTTCTGGCGTCCCCTCCCAAGTTCCTCACTGGCAAATCATCCCGGCTTCCTATCTGTGGGGACTCTCCTTCATGAGTGCCTCGTGTCCCACACCATGCGTTGCCCTGCCCTCCACTGCTGCACTGTAAACTCCACCATGCAGAACACATGTCTGATTCCTTCACTGCCGGAACTCTTCTCACTCCTTCTCCTTGACAGTTAGCAGACTTCACACCAGCAGGCCCCTTGGCCTCTTGGAGACTCAACAAGATTCTCTTCCAAAGTGTCTTCAGCCCATCCATCACCTGCAGCGGGATCATCTTTGATCACCCCATTGATGAGATCCCTCCCCCCAGCTCTAATTGAGAACATACCACCCCGAGGGAGCAAAAACGGGCCACTTGTGACCTATTCTTCCCCATTTGCTTCCAATTCTGCAAAGAAGGGGCTTAATTTAAGGAGGTCCCTCTGAACCGCAGACTCTGCCATCTGTGAGATGCAAATGATGACACTGACTTCCAGACCAGGTGACAGTTTTAAGTGGAGATAGAAAATATGAAGTTGGCTGGGCACAGTGGCTCACGCCTGTAATCCTAGCACTCTGGGAGGCCGAGGCAGGAGGATTGCTCAAGTCAGGGTTCGAAACCAGCTGAGCAAGAATGAGACCCTGTCTCTACATAAATAGAAATAATTGGCCAACTAATATATATAGAAAATTAGCTGGGCATGGTGGCGCATGCCTGTAGTCCAGCTACTCGGAGGCTGAGGCAGGAGATCGCTTGAGCCCAGGAGTTTGAGTTTCTGTGAGCGAGGCTGGACGCCACAGTACTCACTCTAGCCAGAGCCAACAAAGCGAGACTCTGTCTCAAAAAACAACAAAAAAAACCACAAACGAAATTTTCCAGCATAGCCAAGAGCTATAGCAGATTCTCACTATCACGTGTGGTGGTGGGGAGAAAAGCCCATCCCCTTTTCCTTTTCCAAGTTTTGTCCCTCTTGAGCGAATTGCTCCATTTGGAGGTGATTGCTGTTCTCCACATATACCACTAGATGGCACTTTTGGTTAACTCATGTGACCCCTGGCAGCCAAGCCCTCAGAAAGAACCAGAAATAGGATGCACCTGAGAAATTGTGAGTTAAGTAGCCACATCTAGCCCAGGACCATTTATTTAGCATCTACCAGAGGCCATGATAGGTGAAGTGAATCCTGAATAATGGATGGGAATAACCCAGACAGCGCAGGAAGCAGAATTAGAGAGAGGAGGTGAGGAAGGGGAGGCATGGGGGTGCGATGGGAACAGGGTTCCAGGCAGAAGAAAAGCTATTGTGAAAACACAGAAGAGAGACTTAGAGACTATAGCCCATGCAGGAAACTAAAATGCAATGCAGTTGTGGGCTGCTTAACATTTCCGTTAAGGTGGTCCCATAAGATCATAATGGAGCTGAAAATTCCTATCATCTAAGTAGCACTGTAGCTGTTGTGATGTCATTAAACCAATCACTTTATTTTAAAAGTAAGTTTAGTAGCCTACAGGAGTATACAGTAATGTCTTAGGCCTTCACATTCACTCACCACTCACTCGCTCACCCAGGGCAACTTCTGCAAGCTCTATTTATGTAAGTGCCCTATACAGGTGTACCATTTTTTATCTTTTGTATTTTTACTAGACGTTTTCTGTGTTTAATACACAAATACTCACCACTGTGTCACAGTTACCTACAGTATTCAGTACAGTAACAGGCTGTACAGATTTATAGCCCAGGAGCAATAAGCTATACCCTACAGCTTAGGCGTGCAGTAGGCTATGCCCTTTAGGTTCGTGTAAATACACTCTGACATTTGCAAAATGAAATTGCCATCCTGCATGTCATCTCAATGTCCAGAAAAGAAGTAAGAAAAGATTAAATAATAGTTTTTAAAAAATTGCCAGATGATGCCTTTGTCGGAATGTATTCCCGTCATTAAGTGATGCAGGGCTAATTACATATGGCTAGAATGAAGCACACTCTATGTGCAGGACAACATGGAAGGTGAGGTTGCAGCTCTATGTGGGGTATAACAGGAAGGATTTGGGAGCAGTAATAACAGGGTTAATGAAATCAGACTTTACTGCCTGATTTTCAAATCATTTGTATTTGTGCAGCTGATATTCTCCATGGCTCTTTCCCAGAAAGAGGGAAAAAAGCACATGCAAAATCCCAGTGGGTTTGTATGTTACAGACCCCTGCCGTAGCAAGCGTTCGTATTTACACAGTCCACGACGGTAGCCACTTGTCACAAGTAAATATTGAGTACTTACAATGTGGCTAATGTGACTTGAGAAACCAAAGTTTATTTAATTAAAGAGCCAATATGGATTTAAAAAACGGAAAAAAATTGGGGAGAGAACACAATTTGACATTGCAGCATCCAGATAAAAAAAGATTTTCTTAAAAAAAAAAAAAATATATATATATATAAGCAATTTCTCTAAAAAAAAAAAAAGCCAATATAGGACAGCACAGCTCTAGGCTGTTTTTCCACTGTTGCCAAAGAAAGTTTTCGCTCTTCAAAATTTTTCAAAAACTAAGCCTTCTCAACAGCAGGGGTCCATCATAGATTTCCAGCTTCTCAGAAAGTTCTATTGGACAGTGTTGGTCTAGTTACAAGGAGACCAACATAGAGCTACGAAGTGTTGAGAGCTTGGACTCAGGTATTGGCGTGGGTTTAGAGAGATGCAAAACTAGAATCATTAGCACTTGCCTTGACTTGAATGTGGAGGGTAAAGAAGAGGGAGGAATGGAGGAGGATTTACAGGCTTCCGTCTGAAGATCCTGGTGGTTCCAATTCAAGCTGTAGAATATAGGACAACATGGTGGGAATGAAAAGTGACCATTTTCTTCTCGAATGTGTTGCGATGAAAGAGCCATGGAGCATGCAGGTAGAGACGTGGACTACAGAGAAATAGGCTGGCGCCCGAATACATGAGTCACTGCAGGTCAGAGGCATACAGCTCTGGGTACCAACAGCATGGATGCAGTCACTGAAGCCATGGATAGAGGAGGAGGCAGGGGAGCATAGGGGAAGGATGCAAAGGCAATGGAAAAGAAGCCCAAGAAAAATTGTGTTGTCACTCTGAGAGGCCGAGGTAGGTGGATCATTTGAGCTCAGGAGTTCAAGACCACCCTGAGCAAGAGTGAGACCTGTCTCTACTAAAAATAGAAAGAAATACCTAGAAACTAAAATATATATAGAAAAAATTATCCAGGCATAGTGGCTTGTGCCTGTAGTCTCAGCTACTCGGGAGGCTGAGGCAGGATGATCGCTTGAGCCCAGGAGTTTGAGGTTGCTGTGAGCTAGGCTGAGGCCACGGCACTCACTCTAGCCCGGCCAACAGAGTGAGACTCTGTCTCAAAAAAAACAAAGAAAGAAAAATTGTGTTTACTTCTTTTTTTTTTTTTTTTGAGACAGGGTATTACTTCTGTTGCTCAGGCTAGAGTGCCATGGCGTCAGCCTAGCTCACAGCAACCTCAAACTCCTGGGCTCAAGGGCTCCTCCTGCCTCAGCCTCCCAAAGTGTTGGGATTATAGGAGTGAGCCACTGCACCTTGTCGTGTTTACTTATTACTGAGTTTTGAGAGTTCTTTTATTATGGATATACTGCAAGTCTGTCTTAGTCCATTTTGTGCTGCTACAACAGAATACCTTACACTGGGTAATTTATTTTTATTTTATTTTTTATTTATTTTTTGAGACAGAGTCTCACTTTGTTGCCCAGGCTAGAGTGAGTGCCATGGCATCAGCCTAGCTCACAGCAACTGCAATCTCCTGGGCTCAAGCGATCCTCCTGCCTCAGCCTCCCGGGTAGCTGGGACTACAGGCATGCACCACCATGCCCAGCTAGTTTTTTGTATATTTATATTTTTTAGTTGGTCAATTAATTTCTTTCTATTTATACTAGAGATGGGGTCTCACTCTTGCTCAGGCTGGTTTAGAACTCCTGACCTTGAACAATCCTCCCACCTCGGCCTCCCAAAGTGCTAGGATTACAGGCGTAAGCCACCACGCCAGGCCTGGGTAATTTAAAAAGAAGATATAGCACTTTTCTACTATAAATAGAAAGAAATTAATTGGCTAACTAATATATATAGAAAAAATTTGCTGGGCATGGTGGCGCATGCCTGTAGTCCCAGCTACTCGGGAGGCTGAGGCAGGAGGATTGCTTGAGCCCAGGAGTTGGAGGTTGCTGTGAGCTAGGCTGCGCCACGGCACTCACTCTAGCCTGGGCAACAAAGTGAAACTCTGTCTCTAAATAAATAAATAAATATAAAATAAATAACATGGCCTCACTCTTACCTGGCAACAAACTGAACTCTGTGCTATAAATAAATAAAATAAAATAAAATAAAATAAAATAAAATGAAGATATCAGGTAGACAATTGCAGTCTTTTAAAAAAAATTTCTAAGCTAAAGAGTCTTCTTTTAGGCTAATTCATGCATTATCTAATATTTGTATTCAAGACACAGCCTAATCTATATCATAGCTCATACATCTTATATGCGATGACAATAATTCCAAAAGAGCAGGTAAACACAGTGAATAGTGAATGAGACTTTTATGTTAACTTTTGAGTTATGAAATTTGTTTTTAATGGTATTTCCAAAAAGAGGTAAACAATACGTTGTAAGGTCAGCCAAATCCTCTGTTGTTGTTGATGGCTACTTGGAGTGCTTCTTCCACTCTTTCCATTGTAGAATATTTAGGGAGGCAGAGGACACTAGTACATGTGTAAGTTCTCATGGGATCTTTTTCCGTCAGATTTTCAGGACAGCGAAAAGTTATTTTCATGTTCTTTAAACCTTTTATCTGTACTCTGTCAGTTCCTGTAAGAAACACTAAAGAGAAGAAAACGTGGTGATCAGTTTCACACACAGAGACCCAAATCTCTTTACAGAGAGAAAATCTGTTTGTTCAAAACACTTTATCGTGGGCCCAGGCCTAGAGTCCTAGGAACATTAGAAAGTGCACTGAGGGCTGTATTAGGTCAAAGTCTGACACACAGTTACTGCCCTCAAGCCGCTTGAAGTCTGGGAATATCAGAAGCTTGTGAAGAAAGCGACCAACAGGAAGAGAACACGTACGAGGTATAAGTAGCCAGTGAAGACATCATGGAGTTAAGCGTGTCCTGACTAAATCCTGAGCTTCAGAGCAGGGAGGGAGAGCTAGGCTGGGATGACTGGGGGGACTTCCAAGAGTTCAGAGCTGTGCCAGACCTTTAAGGAGGGAAAGGTTCAGAGAGGCAGCAGCAAAGGGGGTGGGTGAGATCAAAGCAGGGGAAGGTGCGTCAGAGAAAGCCTGGAGATGGAAAGGTGCAAGGTGAACTCAGGAGTGTTCAGACAATGGACCCCTTTGGCTGGAACAGATTTCCTATAAGAGTTAAGATCGGGCCGGGTGTGGTGGCTCAGGCCTGAAATCCTAGCACTCTGGGAGGCCAAGGCGGGAGGATTGATCCAAGGTCAGGAGTTCGAAACCAGCCTGAGCAAGAGCGAGACCCTGTCTCTACTATAAATAGAAAGAAATTAATTGGCCAACTAATATATATAGAAAATATTATCCAGGCATGGTGGCGCATGCCTGTAGTCCCAGCTACTTGGGAGGCTGAGGCAGGAGGATCACTTGAGCCCAGGAGTTTGAGGTTGCTGTGAGCTAAGCTGATGCCATGGCACTCACTCTAGCCTGGGCAACACAGTGAGACTCTGAGTCAAAAAGAAAGATTAAAACAAATTAGCCAAATAAAATACCTTGGTGAATCCCACAAGGGCTTGGCCAAAGGAATAATGACAGGAACTAGAGAAAGAAGACTCAATATTTAGCTTAAAGAAAAGAAGGAAAATTTAAAAGCAATAAGGCCGGGCACAGGTGGCTCATGAGTGTAATCCTAGCACTCTGAGAGGCTGAGGTGGGAGGATTGCTAAAGGTCAGGAGTTCGAAACCAGCCTGAGCAAGAGTGAGACTCTGCCTCTACTAAAAATAGAAAGAAATTAGTTGCCCAACTAAAAATATATAGAAAAAATCAGCTGGGCCTGGTGGCGCATGCCTGTAGTCCCAGCTACTCGGGAGGCTGAGGCAGGACGATCACTTGAGCCCAGGAGTTTGAGGTTGCTGTGAGCTAAGCTGATGCCATGGCACTCACTCTAGCCTGGGCAACACAGTGAGACTCTGAGTCAAAAAGAAAGATTAAAACAAATTAGCCAAATAAAATATCTTGGTGAATCCCACAAGGGCTTGGCCAAAGGAATGATGACAGGGACTAGAGAAAGAAGACTCAGTATTTAGCTTAAAGAAAAGAAGGAAAATTTAAAAGCAATAAGGCCGGGCACAGGTGGCTCATGAGTGTAATCCTAGCACTCTGAGAGGCTGAGGTGGGAGGATTGCTAAAGGTCAGGAGTTCGAAACCAGCCTGAGCAAGAGTGAGACTCTGCCTCTACTAAAAATAGAAAGAAATTAATTGCCCAACTAAAAATATATAGAAAAAATCAGCTGGGCCTGGTGACGCATGCCTGTAGTCCCAGCTACTCGGGAGGCTGAGGCAGGACGATCACTTGAGCCCAGGAGTTTGAGGTTGCTGTGAGCTAAGCTGATGCCATGGCACTCACTCTAGCCTGGGCAACACAGTGAGACTCTGAGTCAAAAAGAAAGATTAAAACAAATTAGCCAAATAAAATACCTTGGTGAATCCCACAAGGGCTTGGCCAAAGGAATAATGACAGGAACTAGAGAAAGAAGACTCAATATTTAGCTTAAAGAAAAGAAGAAAAATTTACTTTTTTTTAAAGATTTCATGTCTAAGCTTAGAAAAGAAGAAAAATTTAAAAGCAATAAGAAGGGATGAAATCACATGGGAAAATATCACCTACATTAACATTTGGGTTTTGATGTTGGGCCATAGAGGATATTCAACTGGACTAGGAGTGGCTCTGACACTATGATTTGATCCGTAATGAAACTGTCCCATTAGAAAGACATAAGATTACTATTCCTCGATAGATTCCTTACCAAGGAATTTTTTCTTTTCCTCCAGAGTCAATTTGTGCAAAGCCTTCCAAAACATCACTATGGTGGGATGTGAACTGTCGTAGTCTTGTTCATACTGTGCATTCTAGAGAAACACACACACACACACAAATTATTCAGGAAATAGGAAGGAAAATGGAAACACACACACACACACACAAATTATTCAGGAAATAGGAAGGAAAATGGAATTTAATCAACTTAGCCTTTGCGATGACGATGTACCTTTTCAAATGTTTCCCAGTCATAATCTGTATTTCCAACAACCACGTCCTTCAGTTGTTCAGGGTGGAAAAATTCAATAATCTCCTTGTCACATACTTTATAAAATCCTCTCTCAAATTCATCATAAACTGGTTTCACGGAGATGTTGAAGATGTAATCGACGCACTTAGAAACATAGTCTCTCCTTTAACAAAACAAAAACTTATTTCCGATTACTGCGATACCCTGAACGAAATGGCTGGGAGATAAAAACAAAAGCTAGAACGCCTAACAGCCACTGAGTGCTTACCATGTGCCATGGACTGTTCTAGCTACTAGTTATAGATTATCTAATTCAAGCTTCATAACCACACACCAAATGGCCCCTGGGGGAAAAAAATCACCCCTGATCGAGAACCACAGCTATAGATATATTAACATAGACTTTAAGAAGCTAATAACAGGATGTTACAACTTTACGTAATAAATATGAAAATTCAGATGAAACAAATTCCCATAAAAACACAACTAGCCACATAAGAAGAAATACTAAAGTTTCTTTTTTAATAGGACTTAAATAGTAAATGTGAGAAATTTAATCTATAACTTAAAATCTCCTAATTAAATGACTTTGATGGGAATTCTTTCAATATTTTAGAAAGAAGCAACACCAATGTTATATACAGTCTTGCAAAGAGCAGAAAAAGAGAAACACTCCTTACTAGTTTATGGGGCCAGAAAACCTCCATAATATAACATCAGTATTAACATTATAAGAAATGAAAATTACTAACCAGTATTTTTTGCAAATATACATGGCAGTAATCATAAACAAAATATTATCAAACAGCAATATATAAAAAGCATAATAGATGACCAGCAAGCTGGGTTTATACCATGAACACAAAATTGGTTTAACATTGGAAAACCAAACAATATAATTTTCCCTATAACAAAACAAACCCATATGATCATTTCAATAGATGCATAAAAAGCATCTGATAATTCAATATTCATTCATAATAAAAATTCTTAATAGACTAGGAATAGAAGGGGAGATCTTTAACCTAATAAAGAATTAAAATCTACAGCAACCATCATATTTAACCATGACAGACTGAAAACTTTCCTTTTGAGATTAAGAGCAAAAAAGAGTGCCAGGCTGGCCAGGCACAGTGGCTCATACCTGTAATCCTAGCTCTTTGGGAGACCAAAGTGGTGAGTGGATTGCTCAAGGTCAGGAATTTGAAACCAGCCTGAGCAAGAGCAAGACACCGTCTCTACTATAATAAAAAGAAAGTTAATTGGCAATAATATATATAGAAAAATTAGCCGGCCATGGTGGCTCCTGTCTATAGTCCAGCCTACTCGGGAGGCTGAGGCAGGAGGATTGCTTGAGCCCAGGAGTTGGAGGTTGTGCTGTGGAGCTAGGCTGATGCATGGCACTCACTCTAGCTGAGCAACAAAGGAGACTCTGTCTCCAAAAAAAAAAAAAAAAAAAAAAAAAAAACAGGAGAGAGCCAGGCAGGGCATGGTGGCTCACATCTGTAATCCTAGCACTTTGGGAGGCCAAGACAGGAGGATTGCTTGAACTCTGGAATTTGAGGTCAGCCTGAGCACAGTGAGACCCCTGTCTCTACAAAAAACAGAAAAATTAGCCTGGCCTGGTGGTACATGCCTATAAGTATCAGTTACTTGGAAGGCTGAGGCAGAAGGATCGCTTGAGCCCAGGAGTTTGAGGATGCAATGAGCTATGGCCATACCACTGCACTCCAGCCTGGGCAACAGAGTGAGACCCCATTTCTTTTTTAAAAAAAAACAAAAAGACACATCAAGACTGAAAAGGCAAGCTGCAGTATGTAAGAAGTTATTTGCAGTACATATGTCCAACAAATGATTGTATC